ATAGCATCCTTGCCAGTAAGATGTGGCATAGAAGTTGAACCAGGGCTTTGATCAGAACCTCCAGTATCGGATGTCTTCCATAGTCCCTTCAGATTCCAGCCACCACCACGGAGACGCACCATGGGTGGCGATCGACCCTGATCTAAAGAGGCTCGGCTTTCCGGGATGGCCTGCATATTAGGCGACATTGGAGGCGACTGCGGGGCGAAGTAGTCTTTCTTGTTTGAAGATATGTAATTGCCGTACACATCTCTTCCGTTATTCAACGGGGACATCGGGTAATCAGGTCGAGCAAAAGGGCTGCCGGGTGGTGTATACTCTTTGTTACCGGTCGACAGGGACGTTGGTGGGAAAAGTGAGAGGACAGCATGTCTGGGAGGGAAGGCGCGATCAGAGTTGCTGGAAACCTGTCGTGGAGGATTCGGTTCCTGAGACTCAGAGGTATGGAACCCTTGTGCCAGCCAGTCGGACACTTTCGTATCCATTGTCTGAACACTGTAATCAGAGGATGGTGAGCTGTGCTCAGAGCGCGTTGTGTGATTAGTGTAGATGGCAGAAGGTGGGCCGTCGCGACTTCCTCGTTGTGCCGGCACGCGCCCTTGCACCACCATCTGCTCCACAACATCCCCGCTTCTCTCACTTAGTCGCAATGGTTCGGGATAGCTGTCTCCATCGCTCGCTTCATATTCGAGTTCACTGAAGCAGCCGTCTCCCAGAGCACCACCACTGTCACTCTTGAGCCCTCTTTCAGTCGACGTATCGCTCCCTTCCCAATTATCCCAGAGCAGACACTCTCTCTTGTCACTCATATCCTTTCCCTCCAAGTTGACGCTGACCAGTCTCTGTTCTGTTTCCGTCAACTCGCGGTCAAGTTCGTCGAAAAGGATTTGGGAGGCAGGAGACGATGGAACACTAGTTGCATTCGTACGCTCAGAAATGATAGCGCGCAGCCTCTTTTGATATGCTGAACCGTGTCGTAGCTGGCTGCGGACAGGTATGGGCGGTGGGCTTATATGCGGCTCTGCGGGAGCGGTACACGGAATCATGATGGTGTGCCGGCAGAAAGGCCAAGACAATGGACACGATTAACATGCAAGGTATATAGCCTAGCAAAGGGTGTGAAGTCTAACGCGTGAAGCATGTGCACTTTAGGAAGGGTGCGCCTGCATGACCGCGGAACCAGGGCGAGTGGCGTGGGCGTTTGTCAATTCCAACCTCAGCGAATGGGGCTTCGCTCACTTGAAGAATGTAGACACGTCAACTCACTGTTATTGACGGTGCTCATGACTTCAGCGTATGCGGCGCTGCGTTTGCGACGCTGACCGCCCTGTTGGCATGCTTTGTTCAGGAGGCCTGGCAACAATGCACCTGTTAGAAGCAATGCTCTCCTAGTAGTATATTTAGATAATCATGTAGATGGTGCCTCTCAAACAAGTGCTAAATCTGCTCGCACTTGCGACAACCTATAGGAAATCAACCATATTGTCCTACAAACGCCAAAGCTTTGATGCTGACAGTGCCCGAAAATGCTGCCCTGTGCGTACAAACGTATGAACAAACAGAACAGGAGTGCTCACTAGGATATCTCCACTCCTAACCCATGACTAAACGCCCGGTAATGATGCCGATCGGTTCCTGTGAATTGAGAGACGAATTTCAGATACTTATCGTCACTCAACATCGTGCTCTATCCTCCTACCCTCGTTCTTAAGCTTCTGGTGGACGGCTTTCAACGATTCGAATGTCAACATGGTAGTGACTGCAGCAGGTACAGCACGGACCATGTTAGTTCCCATTCCGTTGTAGAAGGCTCTCCATCCCTCTTCCTGGAGGATGACTGTGCATGTTCGCAAGATCCCACGATAGCGGGGCAGGTTTATCATACCATCCGACGAAGCCGTGCCCGGAGGGCGGGTATGAAAGCGGTCGTGCTGGCCTCCTCGAAACGATACATTATTATCGGAGTGCGAGGGCAGCGAACGTTGCTGTGTTTGCAGGCGCGTGCGCAAGACTTCGTGTGGATACGTCGCCGAAGTCGCCGTCATCTTGCTCAAGACTGTTGCCAGCGCAATAGCGAACCAGTGCACGTCTTCAGTCTTGCTGTCCGTTTGGCCCATTTCCAGGCCAGTAAACTTCATCTTGAGAAACTCGTATAGCGGAAACTGAATGGCAACATGGGTGAGGCCAAGAAGCGCAGGTGTAAGGCCCGAGTAGAAGGAGGCAATGCCTTCCTTGAGGTACATTTTGCGAAAGGCGTCAAAGGTGCTTGTGTAGTGCCATGGCGGCCGGTGTTCGGGAGATGCGCGGGCGCTGACCTGGGACATGAGTCTTGTCTTGACGACCCATATGGGATTAGTGACTAGCGTCGAGCAGCCACCAGCAAACAACGAGGCGATGGTCCTAGCGAGCCATTTGTTCTCTGTGGGTTCAGTCTCGTCAGCAACAGGAACTCGGGTACCCGTGTGTATTACTAACCCATCTGAGGATAGAGAACGTTTTTCGTAGATTCATAAGTGCTCATGTAGACGGCCCAGGTTGGAATGTATCCAAGCAGCATGGGCCCGAGTCCTCGGTACAGGCCGCGGATGCCATCCTCGATCCATATGACTCGCGCAGTACCAGTGAGGCCTTTGTACACTGTGCGCGTTGGCCCGGTGTATGTCCTGGGGCGGAAAGAGCCTTGCGCCTGCAGGCGGGTCTTGATAACATCGAGCGGGCACGTCACTATGCCCGAAGCAACTCCGGCAGACGCTCCGCACAGAGCATTGACGGAGCTGTCGGGGAGCTTGGAGACTCTGACGGCGAGGGCGGCAACGGGCGAGCTCCAGGTGCGCTGCTGGTTTGGGGTGGACATGTTTCGCGGTTCGACTGTCACGGCGGAAGGCGCATACCGGTCGGGAACGTTAGGCGGGGACGGCGGCGCGGGTTCGTGTGTCGACATGAGGGGTACTGCCATGGCCGACTTGTTAGAGAGCTTGATTCAGAGCGCGGGGCGAGAGGGGTGGGCGCATACAGGCCGTCGTCCCCTGTGCGGTGCCTCAGTGTTGCGGAAACCCCGCAGCACTTGAGTAACACGATGACTAGCGATTGTTCGGCTCCATTGACAAGCGGACGGCAGATGAGGGAGTCGTGATGGAAGCGTTCAGTCGCGTGCGGGCCTCGTGCGAGGATATGCGCTCGTGAGCGTGTGAGAGGGCGGTTGTGGGCAGACGTCAGAGCTAGGATGAGCACGAGTGAAGTTGCTCTGGCGGGTGGGGACAGGCCGCTGATTAAGACCAAGGCCTGCGGCGGGCCAAGCGCTGCCCGCCGGCCTATTGGCGTTCGCTTCTTTCGCATTACGACCTCACCACCTCCGACCGTCAAAACTGCAATTGACGACAGCACCCGTCTCGACCCCTCCGATCCGCCGTCGAACACCCGCAACCATGTCTGCTCCGTCTCTCGCCCCCTACATCATGAAGCGCCCGTGGCTGCAGCGCTGGATGAAGCCGCTCGCCAACTGGTACTGCAACGCCGCTGGCTACAGGCAGCTCGGTCTGAGGTACGGAGCCCCAATCCGGACGCGGTGTATACAAGAATACAGAAGGAGGCAGTGGGGGATATGGCCGATTGTGGAATGATGGGCTGACGGGATTTGTGATGCAGGGCCGATGACTTGCTCCCCGAGGAGAACGACGTAGTTCAGACCGCCCTGAAGCGTCTCCGACCACAGGAAGCCTACGACCGTGTCTTCCGTCTGCGCCGAGCTTTCCAGGTACTGCACAACAAGATATACAGGACATGGCAAATGTGGCTAATCTGCGGCAGCTCTCCATGTCCCACCAGCTTCTGCCCAAGGAGGAGTGGACTAAGCCCGAGGATGTAGGGATATCGCTTCAACCCCGAATACCAGACGCTGACAATGCAAAAGGACACACCATACCTCGCCGAGCTCATCACAGAGATCGAGTCCGAGATGGCCGAGCGCGAGGACCTCGAGGCCATGGTCATCCAGAAGAGGCAGAAGAACGCCGCCCAGGCCACCGGACACTAGAATGTATATACCGCGTCTGGGGTGATCAATTGGAGCTTGGTGGATCGAGTCTGAGGTTGCGCAATAGATTGTACCATACCAACACATTTCGTACAGGACTCCCCTCTGTTACGTCTGGAAATACGTTTCTTTTCTGCCCGTGCTCCGAAGAGCTTTCCCGTATGCGCGCATGCTCAGCTGCGGGTATTTGTCTCGCGATCCATGGGAAATGACTTATCGGGGAGGCGGCCATTGCATGACGCCTGGTTTTGGCTTCGGAAAGCAACGCACAGATACAACCGGAAAATGATGAATGACATGCACCTTCTATGCACTTCATAGGAACAGTCAGGCATGAAGTGATGAGCTACTGCACGACTAAGACCGAAGACATGGAATTGCCGTAATAACAGATAGAACATGACCGGTTGAAAGACGCGGGAGAATTCACTTGAACGACTATCTCAGATTCAAGAAATTAGTACCATTTCTGCATGCAAATGCCGAACTTGTAGTACGTTATAGCATTTGCTCTTGGAATGGGGAGAGCGACTACGGGAATCCGAAGTTACTATTCCGTCCTTGGTCACCACAACTAAATGCTCGCACAGGAGAATACCTGCAAATTCGCAGGATTTCGTGTACTCGAGTAAGCTCTTTTGCACCTCGCCATGTTTCTATATAGAGCGAGTGATATGCCGATCCTCTCGCATACGACGGATGCGCAATGTCAGGGTTCCGGATATGTCAGCGCCACGCTGTCATGTGCCCAGGCGTCAGCTCAAGAATAGCTTCCCGCGCATCGCGTCAAGCTCCCCACTTGCGCAACTAACAACACACATTCATTGACCCGTTTTCATGATTGCAATAAGAGTTTTGAAGCAAAGAGTACGTTGTCGCAATCTCGCAGCTGTCCCATATCTTAACCCTATGACGTCAGACTATCCCATTGACCAGAACGGTTAACGACCTCTACACCCATCACACCATGTCTTTGAGACGTTCCGCTCGCGTCGCCAGCAGTATTGTACAAGCTCCGTTGGATGTAAAGGCTCAAAATGGTGTTGCAAAGTATGAGAAAGTTAGCAAGGCGAGTGTACCCACGAAGAAGCGCAAAACCACAGCAATATCTGCGCCAGTAACATCGGACGAGACGAAGAACAATGATACTGTGGACGAGAAAACCAATGGAGATAAAGTCGTAGACCTAACAGATTCAACTCCAACGCTCCCTGCGACACCGCTCCCCAAGAAGCGCAAAACAGCATCAAAACCAGCACCGTCATCAGAATCACCTGTCAAACCACCACCTTTCACACCCACACCTGCCGGTGCCAGTATCTTCTCTTCAGCCCCCGCATTTTCACCTTCAGACGCGACCACCCGTCCAGCAGAGCCCCACACAACAAACGCCCACCTAGCCACGCCCAACGGATCGCACATGGTGCAAGCCTACGCATCCTCACCCGCGAAACCCACCGACCCTTCTCCAGCCAAGAGAAGGAAAGCAAAGGAACTTGTTCCACCAGACGTTGGTGCCATTCCAGCTGCGAGCACCGATATCGATAATCTGTTGAGAGAAGCAGAGGACTTTCTTATCAAGACGGATCCTAAACTGGAAAAGGTGGTGCGAGGGCATCAATGTGGGATTTTTAGTCCGGAGGGGCTGAGGGAGGTGGTGAGGCCGTTTGAGGCGCTGGGGAAGGGGATTATTGGACAGCAGGTATGTGGAAAATGACATGAGTGTGCTGGTCGATGATGTCTGGAGCATATCGTCATAAGTCATATATAAAGAAGGCTTTAGGATGAACATGCAAAACTAACCACTCCCACAGGTATCAGGCCAAGCCGCCTCATCCATCCGCGCAAAATTTACCGCCCTCTTCCCCGACACCCACCCGTCCTTTCCAACGCCCACTCAGGTCCTCACAAAAGACATCGCAACGCTGCGTACAGCAGGTCTCTCGCAGCGCAAGGCCGAGTACATCTACGGCCTAGCCGAGAAATTCGCTTCTGGCGAACTCTCAGCCGAGATGCTAGTTAGTGCCAGCGACGAGGAACTCATTGAGAAGCTCGTAGCTGTGAGGGGCTTGGGGCGATGGAGTGTGGAGATGTTTGCTTGCTTTGGGTTGAAGAGGATGGACGTTTTCGCGACTGGAGATTTGGGTGTACAGTGAGTTGAGTTTGTTCGCTTGAGAGATCAGCGTACGCTTCTTTGACGGATAATGTGACTGACGTGTTTGCAGACGTGGTATGGCCGTGTACGCGGGCCGCGATGTGAATAAACTGAAGAGTAAAGGTGGGAAGTGGAAGTACGTATTAATCATCATGCCCTCTCACATCAATGTAAGATGTACTGACGTACGCCATGCAGATACATGACGGAGCAGGAAATGCTCGATATGGCTTCCAAGTTCTCGCCCTACAGGTACGTCAAACTTCAGTGCAAGCTTCCAATGGCAAAAAACTAACAGTGTCCTGTATAAGATCGCTGTTTATGTGGTACATGTGGCGAATCGCCGATGTAGATGTCAACGTTTTACAAAAGACCTGATTGCTGGGAAGTAGCTTTCCCATGAAGAAGCGTTGGTCCTTGCAGTGAGATACGCATGTACAGTATGAGGCCTATGTGTTGTGGTGGAGTCGATGATCTGTTTGGTGGAGATGCAATGTGGGTCGGGGACGGTAGACTACGACGTACATCCATCGTGGATGGGCCAGGTGTATTATATATCAACGCTCGACATTGGCTACTGTATTGGTATACAACAGCTTGTGGCTTGCTCTCGCCACGAATGTTTACAAACTGTTGTTGCTGTGTAGGCATGGGATGAAATGCTGAAGAACCGCAGTATCGAGACAGAAAGTGCCAAGTGTATGGTATGCCGTGCCCTTCAATGTGGGCAATGATGTCTCGCGAATGATTCTCTTGTAGGCAAATCGAGAAATGTGTTGTAGTAAATTGGAGTGATGTGATAGGACCGAAACAAGAGCAGCCTCTGCTGATGACCCAGCGAAATATTTGGTTCACTGGAAGAGTGGCGCGAAGTTTGTATGCGAACCGTGAGTAAGACCCCAAAGATGCGTAAACTGAGCAATTGGGTCAAACACGTTCGTCTACTCGGCTTCGTATTTCCTTCGTAAGTGAAATGTTACTGATGTACGATGTCGCAAATGCCCATGATGTTCGAAGTCGCGAATTGTGGAGGGATCAAAGACGGACCCACTAATCGGCCAGAAAGGCTTATTTCAGTACTGCCGCAAGATGAGGTCGGAAGCGAAAAGCGGCGCGAATGAGTAGGCTGCAGCGCTCGCTCCTTGTATGTAAAAAGTAAGCTCAACGAAACGATATTGACCGCGGGCATCGTGAGGGCGGCAAAGTGGACTAATATATAGACTTCAGCCCATCGATGGAAGACTCGAATACCTAGCTCTCAAAGGATGATAGATCGTTTCACAATTCTACATTACCTTAGAAATCCATCGACGGTTACTTATGTGTTCGTCTGTACAGCAGTGCGACTGTTGAGTTTCTTCGTTGTAGGGGGTGGTGGGCGATTCTAGAAAAAATCCGAGACTGAAACAATTGTAACTGCCGACGTCATGGCAGGAAACACGACGTTGTGCGTGCGGCGCAAGTGGACCTCTGAAGCCCCAGGCTGGAAATGAGAGGTCAATCAATGCGCGTCAAGCAATAAGCTTGGCAGGAAGGATCGATGGTGAGGCTGTCGCTTGGGGTGGACGATAAGCGAGATGGTTCATCGCAACAGCCGTCTGGAGAACGAGAATAACGAAATGAAGCGCAATGCAGATATTGGGGCGGAATGGATGTAAAGGAGAGGCGAGTGCACATGGCCGAAAGCAGCAATAGAGCTCCAGCGCGCAAGGTCGTGGTGTAATTATAACCGCTGTTGGGGTTCGCATCTCATGAGATTGCAACGGCTGCGCTATACCTAACTCGGATCTGGCCCATCAAGGGTGTAACCGCATTGAAACCATTGGACAGGGGTGGCGGATATAGTAAAAGGCCGCGTAATAATCCACGGTGCTTGTTGTGTTTCGTGTCGGCCAGACAGTGGCAAAAGAAGACTCTGGATGGGCGGGCATGGAGCGAAGGTGCCGCATTGCCGCGTAGTGAGCGGTTACCAGCAAAACTAACAGGTCCGTCGACGACGGATGGAGACGTTGGGGAGCAGCGGAATGGTGCGGGCACAGTAGCGGATGGCCGTCTCCTAGGGCGACAGAGCGGCGATCCAGACGCGACCCCTGTTGTTGAGGCTCACGCATGAGAGGCTGCTGTTTGCGGATGCTGCATGGTGCTTATCAGGGCAACCAGAGGGTTCAGAGCTTGAAATTGGGAGCAGCGTGCTCGGCACGTGAAGCTAAGAGCGACAAGCAGCGTGCGGTGGCAGGCGACGGGCGGCGAGGAGGCATCATGGATAATGGATGCAGAGCTGTGGTAGCCCTCGCCTGTCAAACCACTCCGTCCGCGCGCTCGGTACGGCCGCCGTGGTGCAGTCATGGCAACACGATGCGGGTAGCCACGAGCGTGCAGCATCCACGGCACTGCTGGCGGTGTCGTCGCGCGCAGGCGGCGAAACCATCTGCACCAGCAACCAGTGCGTGGCCCCAGGCCCGCTTGCAACATTCACTCTGGCTTGCTTGCTTGATCGATGATGGTGGGCACGCTCTGGCCGCCTATGATCTCCACCCGGCCTCACTAGCGTTATTAGCGGCTGCCCGGACTGGCACCACCGCGCTCCCCTTTTCTCGCGCCTGCTCCCATTAGAATGCCCTCCTGCCCTTTCTCTCTCAGTCTTCACCCACACTCGCTACTGACGACCGCGCCTTCTTGATCGCGTCTCTGGGACTACTCTATTTAATACTGCCTGCTTTACTTGTTAATTCTTCCCCTCGCTCCAGCATCTTTCCACGCTCGACAACTAGCCCGCAGCACCCGCACAACTGAAACCGGAACGAGCAGTCTTAATATCCCAGGTCCGTGTTGCCAGTCCACATTTCTCAGTCGCCTCATGGACGCGCCCGCTGACTTTTCCTCCCAGTTACCACACCACTTGCACTACACAAAATGCCTTCCATGATGAAGATCGCCCTCCCGGCCCTGGCTGCTGCCAGCGGCGCGTACGGTATGCTTTCTAACATTAGACCGTGTCAACATTGACTGACAACACCCCAGCTGCCTGCAGTGTCTCCGCCACCACCACCATCCAGAATGCCGGTGACGCCAGCGCCATCGCTTCCTGCTCAACCTTCTCCGGTAACATCGCCATTGCGACTGGTACCACCGACGACATCTCCTTCCCCGGCGTCAAGAAGATCAAGGGTGACTTGATTGCCGACACCGCGACCGAGCTTAAGCAGATCAGCGCCAGCGACCTCGAGGAGCTCGACGGAGAGATGATGCTCAACGACTTGACCCGTCTCAACGCCGTCAACTTCCCCAAGCTCAAGGCCATCGACTCCATCAAGTGGAACGCCCTGCCCGCTCTTCAGGAGATTGGCTTCACTGGCGAGGTCACCAAGGCCAACAAGGTCGACATCCAGAACACCGCTCTCCGCTCCCTCAAGGGTATCAACATTGAGGAGGTCGACACTGTCTTCATCGCAAACAACGGTTACATAGATGAGATCTCCATGCAGCTCGGCAACGTCTCCACGTCGCTGACTCTTGCCGACAACAACGAGGCCGTCAAGGTCGAGCTGCCCAACCTTATCTGGGCTAGCAACCTGACCTTCCGTTTCTGCGGTTCCGTCTCAGTTCCCTCCCTCGAGCGCCTGAACGGCTCCCTTGGTCTCTACAACAACGGTTTCGAGTCCTTCTCCGCTCCCAACCTTACTTCCGTCGGCGAGGCTGTTGCCCTTGTCGCCAACGAGAACCTGTCCAACGTCTCTTTCCCGGCGCTCACCAAGATCTCCGGCAACCTCCAGATCGCCAACAACTCCAAGCTCATCGAGATTGATGGCTACCCTGTCCTTAAGAGCATCGGTGGAGCTTTCGACATGAGCGGTAACTTCACTGAGTAAGTTTGCCTCGTATTCGCTGTACAACATGCCTTGCTAACATCTGCCAGCGTTACCACCCCCAAGCTCAACAGCGTCTCCGGTGCCTTCAACCTCCAGTCCACTGACAACGTCACCGAGACCTGCAAGACCTACAAGCCCCTCAAGGACAAGAAGCTCATCGAGGGTGGCTACAGGTGCGAGGGCAAGCTCATCGACCCCGCTGGTGAGGGCCACAAGGGTACCAAGCAGGGTGACGGTGACGACAAGACCGGCGCTGCCACCACCCTCAGCGCTGTCAACGGTGCCCTTGGCCTCGCCGCCATGGCCGCTGTTCTCCTTCTCTAAAAAGCTTATGACGCTGGCGTTCCATCATAATTGCATAGACTACCCCCACCTGACTTTCTTTGATAGCGTATAGCATCAAGCGAACAGGCGCTGACGCAGGAGTTCAGCATTTGAGGACTGAAGGGGCATCGGGGACGGTTTCATGGTTCAGCATGTAACAATTGAATGTATCATTTGGCTACGAGGGTCGAGCAGCCTGTTAATTCGCAGTACATATATGTCTGCCCCGCGACACGGTGTGCAGAATTGCAGGAGGAGTTGCTTTATTTGGGATAGTGGCATACAGTCTTTCTTAAATCTGCTCTGCGTTTTCTTGTGATGTGTTGAAATTAGCATGTGCTTGTCTGGAAATCCTACGTCACGCATTGAGGCCTTTGCGAGCTTCACCGCCTATGACTTGAACTTTGCTTTTTGCCGAACGGAGCTTTCAAATGTGTCATGTCTGTCCATGTCGTCTCATCAAGCCTTCACAGTGTTTCTCAAAAGGAGGATGAAACGCCAACAGTGGTGGGTATTGGCGTATGAGCTTTGACCTTATTGACGCGCCGGACATCGATCATGTCATAGTGTTGCCAAAATTAACTGACAAGTGCAAGGGCAAGCGCTCGAAGAACAGCTAGGGCTTCTGTCGAATGTGGTACAGGAGCTCAGCTCAATCCATCCTCCCGCATAACTTGATCCCATACGTTCTGAGACTGTCTTGCGCCGCTAGTTTGCAGCGCACCTGCAACGACGTCCATGCATTTCAAGTAGAATATTCTATACCGCATTGTCGTTTATACCTGAACTCTCTTTCGGCTCTTGAATACCTAAGACGAGGCTTTCATGTCTCGAATACCAAGTTCAGGCATCCCTTCAGTTATGGGTGGTAAGACGGAGAGCGGGCTCTAAAGTGCGGGCCGCAGTCACTAAGTTCGTATAACAGATGATGTGGGTAAACGAGTGAGCTTCTCTCGTACATATCGCAGACATGTCCCATGCACGACATTCTGTACCACGCAGCTTCTTTGTTAGGAGCCGGGGCGCCGCCGGTTTGGTGTTCCCAATACATGCTTTCACGTGCGGTTACCCAGGAAAATGGAAGGCACGCATGCAGGGCCCA